GGGATGCAGCACAAAGATCTGTCATCAGGAAAAAATAGCCATAGATCACTGAAGTACAGTTTATCCACCTGAAATTACAGGTTTCAGAGAGGGCAGGAGTTAGAATTTAGGTAAGGTACAGAATTTAACATCCTTCCTTTATACATTGAATGCAGACAAGAATTTCACCATGCATTTGCCATCTTGAGCACAGCAGATGCAATAACCTCTCCCTAAAATACCCTTGGTTCAACAGAAGCTACTTCACCACCTGAGTTTTCCTTTGGACATCTCACCACACACTGACTGGGGCTAACTGGAATTGAGTGAAGGATCCACTGAAGTTACAGCCTGGGTAAACTGGAAGTAGACACGGAAGACACTGACCATGATGAATTCAATGGCAAAGCAGGAAAGTGCAAATGCCAGCAAGTCATTTCCTCTCTGTAATTAAGGTTCCCTTAAGAGACACAGTAAATACAGGATGATCCAATTCGTTACGGATTTCAAATTTCCGATGGCATTAGTGCATCTGAGATGCTCTCAGATCATTTGCAGAAACTGGCCAGTCTAGTCCAGATCTGGAAAGAAACTTCTTTCTTCAGGTGAGAGGATATCTGTTTCATACATAACTCATTAGCCACTCTGCTGAATTGCCAATTACTCATTGTTTTGATCAGTGGCTCTTGAGTAACATTCATCTCCAAAGCTTGCTCAGGACTAGTCATTCCTTCCCACTTGCCACTGATGGGCTCAATCTCTTTCCTCTTTTAGAGATGTTGATCTGACAGGCAATCATTTTGCCTTTCTGAGCTATCCTGCTAGCTAGAATTTTCCTTTCATTATTAAACTCAAACAGAAATAAACCAACCAAACAGACAAACCCTCTTAACTGTGTGTCAAAAATAGAAAGCACAGGTTTTTAACAAATGACCCATAATGGCACATCAGTGACTGTGCTCTCTACAAGATAAGGAGAATCCTGGCTTCAGCTTAGAAATGCAAGCATGCTGGTGAGGGAGTGATTTCCAGCCTGCTCCACAGCACCATGAAATACAAGGTCATACTTCCCTAAGCTAGAGTAACGGGAAAATAGATCTATTTTTTCCAGTTTCTTCAGGGTAGTTGGCTTTACTTTTCCTTCGGTACCCACCTAGCTTCACTGAATATACACAGAGAAGCAACAGCAAATAAAAGGTGTGACTATAAAATCGAGCAGTAGGATTTACCATCTAATAATACTTGAAAATTCTGAAAATAACTTGATCAAGTCTCAATGAAACACCTTTGAAATAGCAAACCATCTCTTGCATGAAAATGTATTCACCAGAGTGTCGTTAATAGCCAGCTACGAGACACCACTTTTACCACTGAAATGCAGCTAATTCATCATATCTCAAGGGCTGGTTTTTTTCACTGGTAACTTTCATTCCATCAATACACTGCAGCAATTCTTTGTACAAGACAGTCCTGATAAAGCAGAATAGAGCCAAGGAGAAATCTTGGAGAAATAAAGTGAGAACATGCACTCCGTGGGCCCAGAGCAAGACAGAAAAGCTGAACAACACAGTGCCAAGGAATTTAAACCCCCCCTAAAGAAGTAGCTGCAGAGCTCCCCCTGCTTTAGCTGCAGCTCATTAGCTTCCAAACCTCTGCAAACTTCTCCCGAAAAGCAGGTGAACTCTGGTGTCAAGATCACAGCTGTAATTGCAGCTTTTCCCTGAACAGGGGCTTGCTCAGACTTATCCGGCAGCAAACAGAAATTAGACCAAGCAGCTAGTCCCATAGACTCCTCTGCTGTCAGCACAGATCCTGCTGCCACTGAGGCAAGCACTACGGGCAATCCAGAAATAATAGGACAAACCCACAGCGGGTTTTATTTGTCACTGTCTCCTTCTTACAAACGTTTTCTGTAAAGAATGTTAAGAAGGATGGTACACAGAATACAATGTAAATGATAATTTTACTGGATGGTGCCAGTGCACTTCTTATGTGAAAAATCAAATCAGGGTTTTAAATTCTGGCAAAGTGTTAGGGGACACCTTTTAAAAAGCACTTTAAGGCCAGGAAAAGAAAAAAAGAACTCTGCTTTCAGCTGCATTAACTTATTTTGTCTCGTTTTCACACTGCATGATTAAAAAATGAAAATAATCTGTGCTGATTCCAATTTCTTATGTGTCACCTTCACCTTTGCCAGGTGGTGGTGGAGAGCTCAGGGAGGTCTGCTCTTTCAGCATCTCAACAGACATAGTTTTTGTTAGAAATATTCAGCCCTCTCATTAAAATTTGCTTGCTTGATTGTGTTTTCTTTTCAGTAATGATACCCACTCCTATACTCACTTCTGTGGGTGAACACAAAGCAGGTAAAAACAGTACAAACTGAGCCACACCACTAAGCCTCACGCTGTTAGACCCCAGCTTAGCATTGCAACTGCTACATGCCTACTTGGTGAGGCTCTTCAGCACCTCCTGCAGTGCTGCACTGAATTTGGATTAGGAATTCAGGGAAGGAGATGTATATTGAAATGCTAAAATCTTCAGCAATTCTGGCATCCGCTGGGAAAAATCTATGGGATAGAACCAATAAAAAATAAACCGGGGCAAGCGAATTATTAATCTCTCTAAACCTCTCTAACTGGAACTGCCCCCTCTGGAGGATGCATCCCAACAGATTCGCTGCGACATTCAGCTCACATATTTATGTGTGTGTACATATTTATGCGTGTGTGTTTTATCACATACTAACATGGGACTTTCTTTGATTTGTATATGGGATAAAAAACCACGAAGTTTCCATCAAACTTACAGAAATCCTTAATAATGATTTAATGCAGTGAGATCTGGCTCGCCACAAGACTGTGACAGGGCTGTATTTTGTTCTGCCAGGGTTAGGTGCTCTCTGATGCAGCAGCATTCTTTTGCTTTTTTTTTTTTTCCTTAAATGAAAACTGTATTAATCATTTATGAAGCTGTGGAGTCTTGTCTGGGCTCTGAGCATTGTTAAAGGTGCAGGGTAGGCAGCATGTGGCAGGAGAGGGCAGGGAGGGAGAGCAGCTCCAGCCTTGAGCAACCGGACACGGCTGGAGCCCTGGGTCTGTCTGAGAGCAGCGTCACGGCCACGTCTGGCGGGTTGGTGAGCACACGTCAGCAGGTTGGCCCCTGTTTGTGTTTGTGAATAAATTACACTTTGCAAGAGCAACACAAATAATAAAGAGCCAGCAGCACCCCTGGCTGCATAGAGTAAAGCTACCCAGCTTTCAGCCCATGTGTTTAATAACACCACCTAAGGCCATGCCACCAACACGCCGTCTAGGGAGCATTTTTGCTCACTTTTTTCTCCCTCTGCCACATTTCATCATGCTTAATAATAAAATTCAATAATTGCTAGCATGGAGGTGAGCCACCTTCTCCAGGAATAGCCCTCAAAACGCAGCAAGAGACCTGGCAAGGTGCTACCGCACAAAAACCAAAAGGAATTCCCATCCCATTGTGCCCTCTTTTGAGCATTTGTTATCCTCAGCGCTTTGTATTTTTACCTCGCTGTAAGAAATGTCCCTGTTTGGGGAGAAAAAACCCAAGAGGCAGTGGCTGAGCCTCAGAGTATGCGGCTGACATATATAATCTAGATTGGCTTTCGCAGGCAGACCTTTGATTGAGGAGGAAGAGGAGCAGCTGGTCAAAGTAATCTGCTCAGAGCAATTTGCATAATTTTCTCCCCCGTTTCCTCCGGCATTGTGAGCGTGTCTGGAGAGGAACACAAGCGGCAGATGCTGCGTCACTCTGTCACAGGGTACAGCAAAGTGGAGAACGTGGGTCAGAATTCATCTGCTAAATATCCCCAACAGGTTAAACAGTTCTGGAGAGCTTCAGTCACAGAGCTCCTTTTGAAAAGCTTTCTCTTCTATTTTTTTTCTCTTTCTTTTTTTTCCTTCACTGAGTACAAATGATTCCATTTCTCCAGCAATTGCATGTTTCCTTTCACACTTGTGTGCTATTCAGAAAGATACTCTTTGTCTTTCTTTATGGAGCTGGCTTCCAGGACCTAGTATTTCTTGCCCGTGCTTACATGAAGAACCCATTACAAATGGGTTGTTTGAGAACAGAAAGCCAGGCTTCTGGATTAAAAATGAATGTGTGTTTAATATTAAAAACAACATACTCAGTTGTGGCAAGAAAGACTAAAAGCCATCCTCTGGAGTTTCAGTTTTGTATTGGGTCTGGGACACTGGTGAAAGGTATGGATTTTGCACCTGACTCACCAGCTTCCACAATGGGTGCCTGAAATCAGGCTTCTGAATCATGGTCCTGCTGAGATAAAGGAATCTCTGTAAGCAAAGGAAGGTTTTTCTAACCTGACCAAAGCTAACCCCACACTATGCTCCCATGGTTTTTATTCCCTGCTCCTTGCCATGCCTCTTGGGCAATGGACAAAGCAAACAGCACCTTCCACCTACAAAAGATGTACATGTAAATGCCCTGTCTATTGCTTCAATACAGTATTCAAGCACTAAATAAAAATTTACTTTTACATCCTTTGGGGGGACAAGTGAAGCATTATTTTAATTCTTCAAAAAGCTACTTTTACCCAAAATTTCTTCCCAAGTTGCTAGACGCAAATACTATTGGTTCCCTCTAAGCTGGTGGTAGTAGCCCAGAGCAGCAGATGCTACTACCTGTGCTAGGTGCCCAGTAGCTACATTTCCTACCCTGGAGGACACTGTCTTCAGGAAAGCACATGAACCAGCCTTAGGGGCTCTGCCCTCACCCTTGGGCTGCCCCACCTCCGGTGCCAAGGTTTGCCTTATTCAGGACATGAACTTATCCCTGAAGCCGCCTGAGCCTCCAGCTGCCAATAGAGGCAAAACAGCCACAGCCAGCAGAGACCCTTGCTGATTTAAGATAGGCAAGCTCACCAGGAGAGGTTGTTAATTTAAACTTGTGAATACTCCAGTAGTCAAGTTTAAAACTCAGCCAGGAAAAACCCTCAAACACATGAATATTGTTCCTGTTCTTCCCCGCAGGAAGCTTCATTCCAAAAGCAGCCACTCTGACTGAGAATGGGAACCCTGCAGCAAAGGTGGGGAGGTGGCAGGACCTCCTCAAGACAACAGGAAAAAACAGAAATTGATTATTAAAAGGTAACCATGAGTTTAGCACTCCTAATTCAGAGCACAGTCAAAGGTGCATGCATCAGGTTAAGACAGCTACCATGAAGCATCTAAGGCCAATGGACAGCAAGGAATTTGGTTCGCCCATTCTCTAGTGCTACCAGACATCAGCTCCCTCTGCAACTGGAGCTCAAACAGTCTGAGACAATCCCTAAATTGTCCCTGTTGGCCATCTGGGAAGCCACCATCCCAGCAGGGATAAAACATGCTGTGATGCGTAGTCCCACACTGGATAACGTCAGGCTGTTATACAGCCTGATGTTAGATGCCAGAATAGGTGCCAGCATCTATTTTAGGCTTCTGTCAGTCATGATCATATGGTGGTGAGACAAATGAAAGCACTCCACTCCAAACGGGGATTGCCAAACCCACTGTGTCCCCACCACATGTCAGAAACACTTTTGGACACAGACTGCACTGCCTGTGGCCCCCATCACATCTCACCTCCTGGGTCATGGACAGTGCTGGGGAAACTCCAAAAACCCAAGGATCAGTTTCAACTGGCCAGGAGCTTATTGAGTAAAGCAGTAAGCTTATATAAGAAAATTGCATACAGCTTCTAAATATTCAGTTCAGGACAGTTTATTACTGTTCTAATTCATTTCCTAAAATACATACAAGCAGCTTGTACTCCATATATTGCAGGACAAGCTTGCAGTCTGACTGAACCAGCCATCTGTAGAGTGCAGTAGGAATCACCATTTCCCAATATTGCCACCCATATCTGAACCCAGCTGGAACTGGAACATCCAAGAGTAGAAACATTGCCCTGTTTGTCTATCCCTACCGTGACATTTTATTTTCTGGAGTGTCAGAAATCTGCTGGAGCAGGGTGGATTGTTCTAGGCCTGATCTTAAAAGCTCCCAATTAATGAGTATGCTGGGGAAAGGAGTTTGGTTTTTTTTCTTTTTTCATCCCCCAATGTCACCAACATTTTTTGTGGGATTTCAATAACACAATCCCCCCCCCTCCCCCTCGGCTCTCTTTCCCCTATGGATTTGGCTCAGGGTTTTAAGATTCTTTTTCAGGCTTTTTTAAGTACAAAGATGGAAATAAATCAAAGTCTCAGGGACCTCCCACCTCTGCATCTGCCCTTATTCCAGTGACTGAGTTTTTTTCAGGTATGGCTACTTAAGTCCATCCTTGATACATTACTTGGAGGTTCACACTCAATAACTGCTCTGCGTCTGATGTGACACCACTGGTGCCCACCAAAGCCAATGTGCAAAGCTTCTTGAGGGACACTGACACACACTGGGGATGTCTCTCTGATCTCCATAGGCAGCTGACAGCTCCCTGAGAGTTTCTGCTCAGAAGAGCACCAGAGAGCAAATACCTTCTCCCACATACAGGCCCTGAACAGAGTTCAGATGGAAAGAAAAACCAAGGCCAAGACTTTTACCATATTCCCTCTCCACTACCTGCCAATAGGAGACATAAACTTTCTAATAGCAAAAGGTGGGAAGCCTCACGTTACCAGTATGGGACAGGAACATCTTCAACCACAGAAAAAACGAGTCTTTTTGGGAAAGAAGGAGAAAAGACAAAAGTTTTCTTTAGACTTGTTTTCCTTCATTCTACTCCAGCTCTTGCCCCTCTGAGCTGAGCCTAGCAGAGTCAGCTGCCAAACCACAGCTCCAGCCCTTGTTACCCCTCTCTGAAGGTGAGTACCCCAGCTCAAGCCTTTGCTGGTGAAGCCAAGCCACCCAGGCCCACAGTCTCACACAGAAGACATGATTAATTTTTGCACAAGGAGTGATTTGTTGGTGTGACAGCCATAAACAACAGAGCCCATTAATTAACATGAGATCAGTGCCTCTGTGGTGTTGTTCCTCAGTTTTGCATTCAATAGCACCTACTCTGCCCTTGCTCATCTGGAGAATATCCCCAGAATAAAATCTAAAATACTTTAGAAACCCCAGATTTGGGATAGTAAAAGAGCCTTTCTTTAACTCTGTGTTACCATGTCTTGTGAGACTTTTCCTTCCTGAGGTAGCTAATCACAGAAACTCAAAGAGTTAATTTATTCTGTAAAAGCCCCTTTCATTGTTCTGGGAGAAGGTCTGGTAAAATCACAGTTTTCATTTAGTAATCCAACATGTCCCATACCCTCTCCCTCATCTCCTATTACTATTAGTGCCAGCCTTGTACTAACCATCCATTTCTTTCTTTCTTTCCTTCCTTTTTTTTTGTGTGGAAACTAACTACCTTTCAGTCACTGAAATGCTAATTTCAGAGACAGGCAGTAGGCAGCTAGGAGATAATGTTACATGTTTCCATCCTCCCACGGGGGAAAAACCTGGAGGAATCACAACATCTGAGATGCTTTTGCATTTTGGATAGGAAGACAAAGGGAAAACAGTTTGTGTGTATACACAGACACAAACACATTTGGAGGCTGGGTTTTAGAGATTAAAAATGTAATTAATGTTAGGTGCATTCCCTCCTTACAGGGCAGGCAAGGGGGAGATCTGAACTTTGTATGTTCAGAAAGAGGAGAAACACAATTGGTAACTCCCTGTTTAAACTAAATATCTTGATGGATATTTTTCTCCTCAGGAATACATACTGAGGAAATGGCAGTATTCTGCAAAGAAGTACAAAATATTTGTCATATTTTCTTGCCATGTCACTTTTTCTGCACTGTTTCGTTGAGCCCTGTTCATGAAGGAACAATTGTCTTATTGTCACTGAACGTCCCAGGAGCAATGCAACAAAACCAAACAAAGAGGCAGGAGGGGGAAGAAAGACAGAAAAAGTGGAACAACTTTTCCAGCGTGAATCACTAGTTCTTAAGTAGATCCTTCCGACACAGCGGCTTGGTCTGCCCCTCCTTACCCCTTTCAGTGTGTGTGGGCTCACTCTGTTGCTTCCTCTTTCCACTTTGAGTACTTGGCTTCAGGTCAGTCTCCCTGCTCAGAAAAGAAAGCACCAAAACCCCTGATTTGGCTTCTGGGAGAACTCACAAATTTCCTGTCCTCTCTACCTGACAAAACAGATTGGTCCAGAGCACCTCAAAATGTGTTGTTCTATTTCAGTTTTGGTTTTAATGCAGCATTGCTGTATTTCACCAGTTCTGATTTCGCCTGGAAGGAGGCGATCCATGGGATTCCTGATGGCCAGCACAAACTGGGATCTGGCAAGCAGAACTACCAGAAAAAGGCAGGTTGCATCTCAGGCCTCAGCACATTGGAACAGCAGGGCCAGGAAGTCAAGAGGCAATTCTTCCAGATGGACACAAGGAGCCAGCTACCATGGTGAGATGTCAGGTCTGTGCTCTTCTTACATAGACTGTGGGGATGTGTATTTAATCTTTCAACAGGAACTCATCTAAGCATCTTCCATTCCAGCTGGACAAAAGAAGGAACACACCAAGTAAGGGTAACAAACAAGGGCCTGAAGATAAGCATTCAGAGGTGCTTTTTTCCTCCCCCGTATCTACCCAACCAACAACACACTATTTTCCACAGTTAGAAATGAACATTCACTGGAAATCTGAACTCAGACACCATAAGTTACTATCATTAGTAGTGGGGGAGAAGGGCATGGCATTGGATTTAAATCTCCAAATTGAAACCAGCAGAAAATGGATCCACAAAGGAGAATATCCAAACATACTGACTACAGCAACAGTCTCCTGGTTAGCTGAAATCTCAGGGCAATGAACTGCAGCAACATTTCACAGCATGCTTGAATTTGTAATACAGAGAGCTGCTGGCATGGAAAAACAAATGTGTCTTGGCACTTGCATGGCACCATTAGTAACTAATTCTTGGTGGAGTAGGATAACCTGGTTTAGACCCTTAAAGCTGTTACTCCTCAGTTCAGATTCTTTCCTGCTCTCTGGTACTCAGCTCAGTTCCCTCATGGCTGCCTGGTGTGCTATTGAAAGCAATCATACCAATTAAGCAGTTCTATCAGTTTTGAACTCATGATGTTTGAGTATCCAGATCCTGGCTTTCACTGACATCATCGCAAAGAATTGCATGAACATAACTTTAAAACTCACCTCTCTCCAACTGAGGCACAGGGACTACCACGGCAAAATCTGAAGTCCATTGCAAACATTATAATGGGGAGCTTGAACTACAGTCAAATATCTCATCAGAGAGATATTCAAGTCCCTGAGAAAACTACCTTGCCTGATGCCCACCTCCATGCCAAAGCTATTTCTCCCCAGGGTTATGAGATCAAGCTGACCCCAGCACCAAGATGTTACATCTGTGTCTCCAAAGTGGTGGTCTGGATGTGGTTCACTCAGTATTTTTGTATCAGGCTCTCAGTTAGATTCTACACACATATTTAAGTGAATTACTATATAACCCCTTCATTTTCTTTCTATTTTTCCATTCCAGAGAATGCTCATTGTTACTGGCTCTTTCAGCTGAGGCTCAGGGATCACATTTGATTGCATAGGACAAACCATTTTAAGTGGTAAAGCTTAAGGATGGAAAAAATGAAAATTATGTAATTTAATAATGAACCGCAACAATGGAGCAATCTTCCTGCGTATTATTGACAATGATCATCTCCGGCTGCCAGCACTGCTGGCTGTGAGGAGTCAAGATTTTCCCCGCGCCAACACAGACCTCACTCCTATTTCCAAGCTTTCCAAGTGCAAACAGAACACAGGCTGCTTTGCATTACAGGGAGGCCTGCCCGTTAGTTTTCTATGAAAGAGTTTCGCAGATTTTTACAACCTGGTGTATGCACACAGGCATGCAGCATCTTTCCTACTGCATGTTGTTGACCTCTGCTCAATGCACATGGACAAAGATGGGGATTTAGGTACATAGAAGGCACCTTGTACACCTGCAATACAATTGTATGTCCCTTGAAAGAGGATCTTTGCTCAGTGCAGACAGTGTCAAAATGTTTCTGTTGGGCTGTGCAATTCTAAAGCCAGCAGAAAGCCCCTTGCCCCGCTCAACATCACATTCCTCTGGGCAAATCGAGCCTCTTGCCTTTAATTTCCAACTTACAGGGAGTCCTTGTTCCCTGAATTTGCATTTTGAAGATTTTTGGATTTGAACAAAGCCAAAATCTCAGTTGAAATCTCACTTTGCTCTGGCAGCCTCTGTCATACCCCGTGTCTGGATGGAACCATATGTAGTGTGTGTGGTTTCAAGCCCACTATCGGCCAGGTTTCTCATGCAGCCTTTCAACAGAGTTAAGCTCACAGTTGTAACAAGCCTATGAACTCTACCTGAGCTGCTGTCAATATTTTGAGCTCTCTGTTGCTGTTCAGCAAACTGCTCCCTTGGATTAATATAGCAGGGTGACACACCGAACTGCCTAGAGTTACCTGGTATTCAGTGTGTAGCTCCTTATGAATAAGGAAACTCAACATTTTGAAATGAATTAGGGAAACATTTCCAAGGTATATCTAGGATGATACAGATAAAACTGTTCATGACATTATGAAGACTTTTATATTGGAGGCAAACTGCCATATCTCTCATTGCTTATGCAGTAAGGTCAGCTCTCCACTTCCAGATGAACAGGATAGTCTCAAGAGGAGAAGATGAAGACTATATAAAGGAATATAGGAAAATCAATGCTAATAAAATAAGCTACAGCCCAAACTTCCATCACAAATTCTAATAAAACTCAAAAGATCCTCCAAGAAAAAAATCTGGAGATTCAAGTGTATCAGCTTGCCTAAACTGTAGAGTGACTTCCTTCTTGCAAAACATCTGTAGAGGCTTCTCACATCCTGGCCCTTCCACCCACTCCTACATTCCAGCACCCAAAAACTAAAAATGAGGTCGGCTTTTAGGAGGCTGGCTAGCATGAGCGCTTGAGTGCCAGGTATGTGCAGCTGTATGCTTGATTGCTAATCCATCTGCAAGACTCTGCATGGGCCACTTTTGTTTGAGCCTCAAGTAAGGATGGGAAAATGGTTTGGAATAAATAATACGAAAGCCCTTGGCCTTTTGCCTCTTTTGAAAGCTGAATTGGAAACAAAAGTTCCTTCCAGGTTCTCAAATGCTCTGTTAGTGCCACCCATTTGCTTGTTATGCTGCTGCATTTTCATATCCCATATGGGAGAGCAGGCCCTAAAACACTGGGAGAACAGCTTTTCTCCCAGTGCCCTCCCAGGCTGGATGGAAATAAAGGGAGCTTAAAGAAAACCTGGCTTAATGTTTCCCCACATGAAAGTTTCAGCTTTAGAAAAGTTCCTGAGTACAGAGTATTCAGCACTGGAGAATGTGAGGGAACAAGGTGCTTAATCTAAACCTAAACTTTATGCATCTAAAGGACTGGATGCACCAAGAGTGGATAAGCAGACATACTATCCAGAAGAAATTCAAAGTTCAGCTAAAAAGTCCTGCTCGCTTCTCA